GGGGGGTTGGAAATCTAGGTAGAAACAGGAGGCAGGAGGCAGATCTGGGCAAGGTTTAGATCAGGGGTCTAGTATCCAGTGGCTGATAGACCATTTCTGGCCTTATAAACAGTCCAGAGTCTTAAAAGAAGAAACCATAGCCCACTCTTTATCTTCACTCACAAACAAGAGAGGACTCTCCCAGTTTCCCCAGTTCTAGCTCTCTGCCCACCTCCCCATTCCTGGGGTACCTTTCCCAATAGCTGAACAGACCTGACAGTGGGGTCGCTGACCACGGAAGAGTCAGGGCTGGAGGGTCAGAGAAGCTGAAGGAGCCAGAGGAGCTGATGGCAGGACTGAAAGGCCCCTTCATCCTAAGCTGAAAGTACGTCTCCCCCCATTTCCTCCGGACATATGGACACCCCCTTCTTCCTCAAGCACGGAAACCTCTGGTGAGACCCCGATAAGGGACTTGAGTCATGCCTACCCTCACTTCCACGCCAGTCCTGAGTGAACCTCCACACCGTTCCAAAGCGTAAGGGGAGGAAAGGGAACCGAACAGTGCACTGCGGGCAGGAGTGGCATGGAACAGGATGCCTGGAAGTCTGGGGAGAAACTAGCTTACTCCTTCTCTGGTCTGACAACTTTGCACCTCTTTCCATCATTTTTTTAATGGAATAGCAACATCAGCCCCCACTCCCGTGTCCCCCTCTCAGGGAACTCCTCCTCCCTCAAGACATTCCTGAGATGCATTCCAGAGGAGTTGGGCAATTATGGTGGTGGTGGTGGGGGGGGGTGATGGAGGACAGGAGGTCAAATCCCAGCAAGGAATGGAATTTAAGTGTATTAAGGAGAAGGAATTTGGGGTACATAGAGAACACAGTCAGAGAAGATACCCACAAAGAGAGCTGCGGGAAGATAAGGAGTTACAGAGAGGAACAAAGGGAGAGAGAAAGCTGAAGACAGGCAGAGTGCAAGAGGGTTGGGGGAGTAACACTCAGTCTGTTACCAAATTTGGCCTCTGAGTCCGCGACCGCGGGGGGGGGGGGGGGAGGTTGTGGGTGAGACTGACATATCCGGCCTCAGGCTGCTGAATGCTCATTTAGGGCTGGACTGGGCAGCTGAAGGGCTGGACCTGAACTCCCCTACCACAGCCCCTCCCGACCTACACCCCTATCCCACACACACTCATCCTCCCCAAATGCACCCCAGCCTATGCACAGAGATCCTTCCCACCAAGCTACCTACTTGGTATCTCTTTACATACATGTTATCTCAATCCCACAGCTCTACACAGATCCTGTTACAGCCTCCTTATCTTCCCATACAGACCCATCCATGTGCACAGCTTCCCCACAAATATACCTCCATCTCTAGCACACAGCCCTCACCCCAACATCTTTTCTTCTATTATGTATACATTCTCTCTCCATTCACCCAACAAGCATTCCTTGAGGGCCTGTTGTGGGGAAGGTGCTGGGTCACACTTTTCAGTGGCTGGGAACTAAGATGAGTAGACATAGCCTTCGCCCTCAAGAAGAGAGAAGTGGATCAGCCAAGTACAGAATTTAATAGAGAGCAGGATGTGCTAAGAGCCTGGAGGGGTGTGTACACAGAAGAGATCCTAATAGGCTAGGGAATGGGAATAAAAAATCTCCACGAAAGAGGTGTCATTTGAAGTTAGACTTTTAGAAACAAGGATAATAAAAAATAATAATAATCTATCATTTACTGGCAAGGTATCAACTGCTTTGTATACGTAACCTCATTTAATCGTTACAACAACCCTGCAAGGTAGGTGCTATTATCTCCATTTTACAGCCCAGGAAACTGAGACTCAAAAGAAGTATTTGTTCAAAAAGTACTTGTCCAAAGTCACACAGCTAACAAGTTGTAGAGCCAGGATCTGAACTCAGGTTTCTCTGACTCCAAGGCCCAAGCTCTCTCCACTATGCCAGCCGAAGACGAGACAAGGGTAGCATTCCAGGCAGAGAATAGCATAAGCAAAGGTGAAGAAACAGGAAATCGCGGAGGAGCATTCAGGGGAGTGAGTAGGCAGGCTGGTTGAAGCACAGGGTACCTGCAAGGGAGCAGTGGAGGGGGAAGTTAGTGGTGGGGATGGAAAGGCAGGGGAAGACTAGAGAGGAGTATGAGGTATTTTACCTACTGGAAGGCAGCAGGAGGCCAGAGGAGGCTTTTGAGCAGAGAAGGAACATGACCAGAACCAGATTTTAGAAAACAACTCTGGCAGTTACCTTGGAGATTGGTTAGAAAGATACTGTATTAACACAAGCGAGAGATACTGAAGCTAGAGTTAGAAGGTGGAGAGGAAGATGTCACTCAGAAGAAATGCTAAGAGGTAGAACTGACAGGACCTGACAAGTCTGCCCTGTCAACCCTCAGAGACCAGGGCCTAAAGTCAGGTGGGGGTCCCATAGCTTCCTGTCATCAGTAGCCACTTAGTGGCTGGGACAGCTTGAGCACTTTGAGTTTAGGTAAGGGGGAGAGGGATCAGGTTATGCTGGGAATGTGAGGATGAGGCTGTCGGGAAAAGGGGACAGGTATGTGGTTAGCACCCACATAGGGGCAGATAGGGTGTGGTCAGTGACTGCATCAGGCTGAGGATGGTAGTGATGATGGTTGTAGGAAAAATGAATATATGATCAGTCACTGGATCAGGATGGGGGAAGGGGAGAAATGAGTATGTGGACAGTGGCTAAATCAGACTCAGAGAAAAAGATGGAATGAGATCAGAGGCCAGGTCAGGCTTGAGAAGAGATGGGGCTGTGGTCAATGGCTAAATTAGGTGGGCATGAGGGAGGTGAGGGGACATTGGCAGTGGCTAAGCTGGAGTTGGGGGAGGAGTGGGATGCAGTCAATGGCTGGGTCAGGTTGGGTAGGGGATAGGGTTGTGGTCAGTGGCCAGGTCAGGCTGGGAGTGAAACGGGGGTGTGGTCAGTGGCCTGGCTGGGCGTGGGATCAGCAAGACCCAGTTTCCTCTTTGGGTCTCATTTCCTCTTTTCTGTTTGGGGAGTGGGGGAAGGGGATCTTCAACCAGATCAAGAAATTAAAGGAGGCTTAGAATTGCAAGATGGCACTTGGACTAGAGATATGTGGCGGTTGCGTGGGGGGGCTGCTCAAATGAGCAGATGGTATGCAGGTCGATGAGTGGGTGAAAATGGTGGGAAAGTGTTTTAAGATGATAGGAAAGCTCAGGTTTGGGTAAGGGTAAATTAAGGTAGGATGTGTGAATCAAGTGGGGAAGGGTTGGGAGAACTGAGGTTGGAAATAGATGGTAAGAAGATGAACAATAGGAGAAAGTTAAAGACAAGGGAAATATTCTGTAAGGAGGTGTGCAGGAAAGGTGTGGACTGCAAGGCCAGGGATGAGAGCTGGAGAGGAGGGCTTAATATCTCGGGAATGAGGGAGCAGTGGGAGTTAACTTTCAGGGGATTCAGCTATCCCCTTCTCCCATGACAAAAGTGTTTCCTTGGTCTGCTTCCCGTGTAGTCATCAGTCTCCTCTCCCCTCGGCAGTTCTCCACTTATGACTAGGCATGGTGCATCTCCTGGGCCCCTGGGCCTTTCTCATCTCCCACCTTGTAAACAACATAGTCCAGGAACCCCAGTCCTCCAACTGTGCTGGCCACAGAAAGAGCCTTGGATTTACAGAACGGAATAGAGAAGCTGGATTCCTAGTCACCTGCACTTCCAGCCCAGAACTTAGTTTGTCATCTTTCTGGGTCAAAGAAGCCCCTGTGACTACCTAGGAATAAGAGACTTCCCCCCAAAACAAGGGCATCTACCTACTGACAGCCTCTTAAATTTCACCTGCCTGAGGTCAACCACCCAGACCTCAATCATAACCCCTAAATCTGTCCCCTAATTCCTAATATTAATCCTGATCCTAACCAGTTTCCTGATTCCCAATACTGGCTTTGACGTTCATCTCTTTCCTAGCTGAGAGCCATATTCAATGCCTGATCCTACATGCTGACCTGATTTCACCTTTAACATCAAACTCCCTGACCTTAACCCTAAATGCTGAGCCTTAAACCTAATATTCATTTGCATCTTGATTCCTGACCCACCCCGTCGTTGCTTATCCCTAATACTGACCATGCCAACTCCTGTAATCCCTAAAACGGGCATCTAACCTAATTTCTGTTGTTGACTAGACCCTGAACTCTAACTTTGATTTAGGCTGTCCGTCCCAGAAAACAAAATAATCACCTTAATCTAAACTCTACATACAAACTGGACCTGACTTACACTAATAACTCTTAAGTTTCGACCCTGGCTTTATCACTCCTAAAGCTAACCGTAAATCCAAAACCCAACCTCATCTAATCCCAAATTTACCAAAGCGTTCCTACTCACATATCCCTATCAGCTAACCCCAAAACCTGTCTCCACCCTGGGCTCACTGTGGTCACTCCTCACCTTCCCTAAAACCCATCGCAGGCAGAGGACTACTCCCCAGGAAAAAGGCCTGACTCCCGCAAAACGGCCTACTTAGCTCCGAGACCAAGCCGAGATACACTGGACCCTGACCTCTCCAACAGGACCCGAAACAGGAGACGCAAGACAGCCAGGGGCCCCGCCCGCCCGCCTCCCGGGCCGTGTCTCGCAGCCCCACCCCAGGGCTCCAGCTCGGCCCGGTCCGGCCTACCTGAGCTGCCCGGCTCTGTGCCCCGCCCGCCGGCCCGCTAGCCTGCTCGTTCTCCCGGTCGCTCTCGGGCTCCGGCCTCGCCCTCCAGCCAACGGACTCTCTCTCGGCCACTTCCGTCCCCGAAACGTCCCCCACCCGCGGGCGGCGCCCTGCGCCTATGGTCGCAGGGACTGCAGGAAGCTGCTCTGGCCCCAGTTCTCGATGCTCGGGAGCCGACCGAAGACTGGCAGCCCCTCCCCGGCAGGAAGCAAGGGTTCGCGCAATCCCGAGGAAACGCCCGAACTGTGCCCGAGTTCCCTTTTAGTCTCAAATCCTTCCTTTTCTCGGTCTATGCGAAGGCGGAGCCAGATCCCCAGAATTCCCGCCCTCAGGGTGTGCGGAGGCTGAACAGACGTCCCTGCTATTTGCATAGCTCCTGGGACGTGGCGCAGCACTCAGGCCACTTCCGAGTTGAGGGAACTTCATGTCCCAGAATGCCATGGCGGCGAGGTGAATTACTTCCGTTGTGTTGGAAGCTGTTGAGAATTGAGTTTGGGAGGCGGGTCCGCTTGAGAGTCACCGCTAGGGGGAAAGTCTGGCCGAAGAGAGACCGGTGCATAGGTGGGAGACCGACAACTGGGCTGTGGATCGTGCCTGGAATTCGGGGGTTGGAGGTGGGTGGCGGGGTGAATCCCCGAGTTTCTGCCCATTTTCTCCGTAGATGTGCCATATGGAGCTGGCACTAGGCCCCACTGACCAGGACCTGCTGGATTTTCTCCTAGAAGAAAGCGAAGATTTGAGGGTGGCGCCCGAGGAGGCCGTGGAGGCTCCGCTGGACTGGGAGCGGCCACTCTCCGAGGTGAGTGGGAGTTTGAGTAGGTGAGGCGCGGGGCTGGGGGCGTCCATGAGGCATGAGATGGTGGTGATAGGTCAACGCCTGTTTATTTGAACCCTGTGCAGGTACTGAGTGATTGGGAAGCGGATGAGTTCCTGAGTTCCCTGCTAAGTCCCCCAGCATCATTAAAGGCTCTTAGCTCCTCCATACCTTGCCCTGTCCATCATGATCACAACTACTCCCTCCCACAAGAACATGTCTCCATAGATTTAGGTGAGTCTGAAATAATTGAAGTTTATGGAGAAGAAAGTGTTCATGGGCCTGGCCATTCATACTTTGCTTTCTGCAGACAGTGGGATCTGTGAGAAGGAGGAAGCCCAGATGACTCCACTGCAGGTGAAGGAGCCTGCAGAGCAGGTACTTGACTAACAGGATTATTCCTACACTGCACGAGTGGGGGCAGGATTCCCCATTCCTCTCTGACATCCCTATGCAACTCTCCTCCTCCTTCCCACCCCTCAATAGCCCCAGGAGATTGAGAACCTTATACTGACAGAGGAGGAGAAGAGGCTATTGGAGAAGGAGGGGCTTACTCTGCCTGGGACACTGCCTCTCACTAAGGTAAGTCTCCCATTGGCAGAGCAAAGGCTGGCAGGAGGCTTTATGAGTCTCAAGTAAGCTAATTTTGTTAATTTTATGTCAGTAACTTAAAAAAGGACAGAGGTGGGAAATTTAGCAAATTTGTTGGTAATAGGAAGCTGGGGCATGTAGATAATATGCTGGATGCAAAATTCTGGTTTTGTGGGGTCTGACACTTATAGAAATTTTAGTATTCTCGTTAAGAAAAAAAATCAAAATTATCAGCACGGTATTACTGTAGGGCCTTATGCAAGTGAGAATCCCTGACACTTAGATTTCATTGAATTCATGGTAATCTACTTTTTGCTGAATTATAGAAGCTTTAGATCATTCAACAAGGCTGGACTAACAGTATAACAAAAATAAATTCCTGTGTTTACATTTATTGAGTGATTTTATAGGCACAGTATTGTGAAACCATGATGAAATCAATGTTCCGTGACAGAAAGGTTAAGGGAATTTTCTTAAAAGTACAGAATGAGTCAGCAGGTCAGCAGTAAGACTGGTTGCTGAGTGAATAGGATTTCGAGCCTGTAATAGAGGTGTTGCCTGCAGAATGGCAGTGACTGTCCTGTTCTCTTTTGTATTTGCCAGGGCACATCTTAGTACTGAGTTTTGAGCCCAGATCTTTAACAGATATTAACAGGTTGGAATCCATCCTGAGGCGAGTAGGTAAGATGAGGAGTTAAAATTTTTGTCCAGATTTTTTTTAAAAAAAAAAACTCTGAAGAAACGTCAAGTGTCTTAAGATAGCTAAGGAGGGTTTGTTCGACATGGCACCAAAGATTAGATACTAGGTAAGTCCAATGGATAGAAATTACAAGCAGGCACATGTTGGCTCAGGAGATTTAAAAATAAAATAAAATTGTCGAAAGTAGTCCAGGCTTGTTAACAAAGATTTTAACACCTGGTCCCCGGAGGTGTTCGCACAGAAGCCGAGTGCTTATTGGTCAGGTGATGGAACTCATTTGCCTTCCAACTCTTTGGTCCAGTGTTTCTTTGATGATGCCCCTTTCTTGTCTTCTCCCAGAAGGAGGAACAAGCTCTGAAACGAGTGCGGAGGAAGATTCGAAACAAAAAGTCTGCTCAAGAGAGTCGTAGGAAGAAGAAGGTGTACGTGGGAGGTTTAGAGAGCAGGTATGAAAGGAAGAGGGACTCAAAGGGTGGGGGGAAGACAGGTAGTTGGAAGTGTCTTTTTTAAAGGGAGGATAGAGGTCATATCCTTGTTATTCCCTCAGGATCTTGAAATACACAACCCAGAATCTGGAATTACAGAACAGAGTGCAGCTCCTGGAGGAAGAGAATATGTAAGCAACCCTCCAACATCAGTCCTTTCCCATCCCTCCCATTTAATGCTGCGCCACTCTTTTCCCTGTTCCACACCTGCCTTCTAACTGGGCAGCTTCTATACGCAGTCTGGTGCTTAGCCTTCATTGTGTCCCTGAGTCCAAGAAGCTTACGGTACTGGCAGAAATTCACAAGTAACTATAAAGTAACCAAGAAAGAGAAAGGAGGGAACAAGAAAGACTCAGGGAGTAGATAGCATTTGATAGTGGATAGGATTTTAGGAGTGAAGAAAGCATTTCAAGTGAGAGAACAAAACATTGTCTGGTTTGGCTGGAACTCTGACACAGGTGAGTTGGGGCCAGAAGGTAGAGGGTATGGAATGCCTTGTGAGGATTATGTGCATCGTTGATAAGGCAGAACTACGGAAGGTATTTGTCAAAGGAGTTTGTCAGGACGGAGAGGTTCTTTTTTTTTTTTTAATGGGGAACTTTAAGCATTTTATCTGCAGAGAACTGATCACCGGCAAAAATAGAAAATAAGCGAGGATCCAGGGCACAGATGGAGGGGGTGGCCTTAACAGGAGTTTCATTGTATCTCAGTTACCAGGCCAGAGTGTGCTCACTGTCTCTTTTCTTCCTCCAGGTCCCTTCTGGATCAGTTGAGCAAACTCCAGGCCATGGTGATTCAGATATCAAACCAAACCAGCAGTAGCAGCACCTGTGTTCTGGTGAGGCTAGCAATGGAAGGAGAGATCTTTTTCTCATGTAGTGGGGACAGGGTGCAATCCAGAGCCCCCTTCTTTATCTCCTTTTCTCTGTGCTCCAGGTCCTACTCTTCTCCTTCTGCCTCCTCCTTGTACCTGCAATGTACTCCTCTGACATAAGGAGGAGCCTGCCAACTGAGCACAGAGGTGAGAGGCTTGCAGCTACCATTAAGGCATGCGTTAGAGGAGAGGTCCTGGCCTGCCCCTGAAAATCTTCTTTGTCTCCTTAGTGTTGTCCCGCCAGCTTCGATCCCTCCCCAGTGAGGACCCTCACCAACTGGAGCTGCCTGCCCTGCTGTCAGAGGTACCAAAGGACAGCACAAACCAGTTGCTGAACAACTCGGACCATTTCCTCCAGGTCCCTGGCAACTCTTGCTGCTTCTTGAACCATGTGGCTCAGGATCCTGGCGCAGAGCCTCCCCTGAAGCTGACTCTCTCTGACCCCTTCTCGATGCACTCCTGCCTAAGTCCCATCCTCCCACAGCAGACAAATCTCACAAGAAAGGGGGGATGGCTCCCTACCCACAGCCCCTCACCTGTCATCTTGCAGGTCAGATACTCAGGCTAGATGAGGATGTGGAGGGCCTCAGCAAGAGCCTGGGGCCCCCAGTCTGTGTCCAAATACAAAGGAATGGAAGAGGGCTACCTTCGGCTCCTGTGCCCTGCCAGGGAAGCCTGAGGCTCAAACACACCAGACTTTCTGGCTTTCTGGGTCTTTTATTTGTACCTGTATGTCTCTATCATTCCATGAGTGGACCTGGTGAATCAACTGAACCTCATTGAACATCTCATGCAGTGAAGGGAGGGGGTAAGGAAAGAAATAAATAAGTGATTCTGATGTCTGGGTCACCCCTAACCCTCCTTACTGGCACAGTTGGGTGGTAGGGAGGGAGGTATGATTGTCCTGGTGGCTCAGGGCTGCAGGAAATTGCGGGAAAGGAAGGGAAGGCCAGGCTGGAGGCTGGGCTGTTAGCTTCTCCCTCCCACAGTTCACAGGGTTCACTCTGGGCTCAGGTTTGCCATGGCTTCCTTTGGTCCAGATTTAGGCCCTGTGTTTAGTCCTGTGTTCTGCTCCACTACTGGTCTGGAGGCCTTTTTACACTGCTGTTGCTGCAGGGCCAGCTGCATAGCCCAGATGCTCAGGGGCCGCATGTAAGCTAGGGAGCGAAACACTTGCTGCTGGCAGTATGCCTCAGGAGTCTGGAAGGCCAGGCCCAGGCGCTCCCACACGGTGCGATAGCAGCCTTCAGCTGTCCGGAAGCCCTCTGAAGTCAGGCCCTGTGGGTACAGATGGCAGTCATACAACTTGGCACCCCCGAATAATCACTTCAGTTGGACAGATAGAGAGACAATAGGGTCTCTGCCCTCAGGGAGCTTCTAGCTAGTGAGGGAGATAAACTTGACCAAAAGGCAAAAGCCCGAAGAAAGCAGGAGTTGGTATGCATGCCGGGGAAAAGGGGAAAGCCTTAAGGATAAGATGGCCTTGGCTGGGGAAGTTTGTTGGGCCAGGGTGCAGATGGTGGAGAGATAGGGGAGTGCATTACCTCCTGGATCATGGTGGCTGCCAGCCCATAGACCACACCCACCCAGACTTCATCAGACTGGACACTGGATGTATCAGGGACACCATGAGGCTGCATCCCATTCACAGCCCCCATGGCCCCTCCTGCAAAGGCCTGGACATTGAACTCGAAGATAGTTTGGAGAGCACGGACCACATGTGGGGTAGGAAATACCTGGAGGGGCAAGGGCAGAAACATGGTCCCTTATACTTGCTTCCCACCTCCAGGGAGAGCCCTTCTTTCAGACTTCTCCATCTAGTCTCTCTCACCTCTGTGTCTCCTTCTCCTAGGCCACAGGCCCTCAGGAACCACTGGCCAGCACACTGGTCAGACATGATGCTACGGGACTGAGGCTGAGAGCTGCTATCATAGTTGTAATAGCGGCCTGGAGTAGAAGAAGGGCAAAGTAAGGTTCCCTGTGTCCCCATAGCTGCCTTAAGACTCCTTAGGACCCCTCCAACCAGCCTCCCCAACTCACCATTCCACAGCAGCCTCTCGTAGGCCTCTTTGCCCCGGCTAAGGATGGAAGAAAACTTCTCTTGGATATCTTGTGCCTCACACAGAGTAGCCATCTGGACCATCACAGCCACGGCTGCCAGCCATAGCCCTCCACAGTACGCACTGATCAGGGACATGGGTTTGGGGGTCAGACCAGCAGCTCCAGCCATTCTCATGCAATACAACAGGCAATAGAGTCACTCCTCCCTGAGCTCCACAACCCCCTGGTGTCCAGTTCCCCACCTTAAGCCTGGTAACCCCTATCCCCCAACCTGGGCCCTGTAGCGACCCATCCATCATAGGTCTGGTCTGCATAGCCTCCATTTTCAATGAGTCCATCGTTGTCCTTGTCAAACTTCATTTCAGACTCCATCACGGCCTAGAGAGGAATCAAGATACTGAGGACCTAGATACTAAGGAAAGAATCATAGCCAGCTGGGCTCTCCCAAAACACCAGTCATGCTGCTAGCACACTGGCCACTGCACGTGCATCCCTTACCAGACACACAGGCCACATGTCCCTCAGGAAGCCCTGGTCACCCGTCAGGCAATAGTCTCGATAAACCTGCAGCACAAACTTCAGGTTCAGGTCCTTCCAGTCGGCAGTGTCGTGGATCACATACGCATTGACACGGAGCCATGGCTCGTCATCTGTGTAGGGGGAGGGGACCTGGTTCATTTGTATTGGTGGGTAGGGTAGAGGGCGCAAAAGTTGAGGGAGTGAAGCTGACCGTGGGGTGGAGAGACATTTACCTGGGTCCCCGATATCATGGGGGATGACGTTCCTCCTTTTCACAGGTGCTATCAGCCCACTCATCAGGTACCGTCGTCGTGTTAGGTCTTCCCTGAGAGTGGCCAGAGCTGGGGAAGCAGTCATGTTAAGTGGGTGGAGTGGGCAGAGAATGGGCAGGCACGGGGTGGGGCACAGAACTGTGTGTGAGCCCGGAGGGGAACCAATAACCAGGGTGCAGATATGTGTTGGGGGGAATGGGAGAGAGACAGTCTGAGTGACCAAAAAGTTCAGGGATGTGGGAAGCTAAAGGGGGAGAAGGGGCACAGGAGGGACCCTTACCCATGTCATACTGCAGACTGAGCTCAAGTTTGGGCCAGAGCATGACAAGGGCGAAGGACGCGTAAAAGTGGACATCGTATGTGTTGTACATGCGATACTCCTGGCCTGGAGAAGTGAGGAAGACAAAGTTACCAGAATTCCTGCTTCCCCTTCATGGCTCCCCCACTAGCTTGTCCTCCTAGAGTTGGAGGGGGGCTACTGTCACCAGTCTACACCCTCCATATCCCAGCCAATATCCTGGGGGAGGCAAAACCCATCATCCAGCCTGTGGTAGGGCACTGACTGGCCTAAGGAGCAAGGCCTGCCATACCCTAGCTCACCAGCAGCCCGTACCCTCAAGGTAGCCAAATCGTCCGTACTCCCGTAGCACGGGGCGGAGCTGCCTCATGCCCTCCTCCAACTCCTCCATTAGGGAATCCTCAGGAACTTCCAGCCATACTGTGCCTCCATCGGCCAGGAAGTACAGTTCATTGAACAATGCAGATTTGTACCAGGCAGGCAAGGACCTGGGGAATCAGAGGAGGGAGTGGTCTGAGTGTGGACCTCTGATTGAAAGGAAGGATTCTGGGGTTCAGCAGACAGTGGAGGTGCCAAATCAATCTCAGCACAACTCTGCTGACTTTTTAGTGGGTAGAGTGAATCGGGAGTCTCAGTTGGAGTTTGAGTGCCTGGGAGAAAGGCAAGGTGGCCATAGAGATGGGCCCCATTGGCACCTGTCCTCCAGTATTGGGCTCTGCCAAGCTGAGATCTTCTCTTCCCAGTCTGCATATCGGCACAGTGCATAGTGGCTAAGGGCAGGTGCTGCTTCACCATCTTTACCAAAGAATCTTGTGTATCGCCTGGGGTGGAAAAGGGGAGGGATGAGAACATAGGCTCTAGCTCAGAGCCCCAGCCCCTTGGATCCCTGTACTTTCTGGACCCCATTACCTGTAGTGGACCTGGCCCTTGGCTCCAAACACAATCCTGGGCATGTCCCAAGCCAGCGAGAACTCCAGGCAGCATCGGCCTCGAGGTGGCAGCTTGGCTGCAACACACACAGCCCCAGCGATGCCTACGCCTTTCTGAGAGGGGGCACTCCGGCCTGAAAGAAGCGTAAGAGGGATCAGCACAGGCACCCTCCTGCCCCAGAACTAGGGAGTCCTAGCATGGGAACAGGGCCTATTCGTTACCAGGCCTCCCACCCCTGTTCCCAAGACAGAGACAACCTCTCTTCCCACCACCTCCGTTAGACCCCCCATCACCAGCGGGGGAGTCCAGCTGTCCGTCCTGAAGTAGATCCTGCCACACCTGCTGCCCAGTGCTGTCAGGGTCAAAGGCTGTGATGTGGGTTACCGTGGTATCTGCCTGTTAAGGGGCCAAAGACTCTGTGAGGGAGAGCCCCACAAGTATGCTGGATTCTGATGAACTCTCCAGCTCCTGTTACATACTCCCCACCTCCAAGTTCCAGAGGCTTAAGGGCTGTGGTGTGGGTAGGACTTAGGAGTTGATGAAGAGACCATGATGGGGTAAGGTGGGCTCAGGGGCCAGGGTGAGGCTAGGGGTTCATGGACTGGGGTTCAGGGGCTAAGGTACAGGGCAGACCTGTCCATTACCGTGAGTCGTGCAGCCACAGCCATCGTGTAGGGATTTGGGAGGGTTGGATGATGCAGCAGCAGCCCCTGTACAGTTTCCCCATCACGCTCTAGACAGAAGGGCTCATTCCACAAACCCCCTGGGGCATCGTCCCTGCCCCCTAGTCCATTCCGCATGGAGAACATGATGGACACATCCAAGGCTTCATCCCCTTCATTTTCCACATCCCACACAAAGACTCCTACAGGCAAGCTGCTGTCCTGGGGGCAAAAGAGTGGACTCAGGTGGCACTCAGTGTAGCCACTCCCACCTCCACTCTCCTGATCAGTCCTGGACACAGAGGACCTGACTCAAATTCTCCCCAATATACTCTCTTCTTTCTCCCACTCCCATCTCCCCATATTCCCAGGCAGGCTGCCTACCAGGAGACGGAAGACTGGAACCAATTTGGTGGTGGTCCTGGGAAGCCAGTGTGACGTTCATGGCTCCAACCTCCACCCATTCACAGGTCATAGCATTTCCAGCAAAGGCAGATCCCGGGAAAAGTGGCGGGGGGAGACTTACCTGGTAGTCATGAGGCAAGATGGGTGTGATTTGGCGGCAGGTGAGAGTGACATTCTGGCCAGGAAGCTTGTAAACAGTCCAGGCTCGGGGATAGAGAGCATGGTAGAAGGCAAAAAACCCACAAAGGCCCCAGTTCCAGCTGTGCAGGACGCTTGGACGCTCCAGGGACAGGACTTGCTGGTACACAGTCTGCCCTTCCCGACGCAAGCACACTGTGAACTAAATCAAGAAGGTAAATAGGCTGGAATGGGGTAACCCACAGGCACTTCAGAGTAATCTGCTTCACCTCAAAGTAGTTCCTCCCTTTCCAGAGCCTGCAACTGTTACCATCGTACCACCATCCTATCATCACCTAGGCCTTTCCCCCAAGCTCAGCTGAGTCACCACCAAGTCCTCCATCCATCTCTTAGGCTTCGTCTGCCTTTTGTACTACTGTGGTATTAGTGACCCAACCTAGGACCCAGCCTAGGCCCTCACCATCTCTGCTTTTACTCTCTGCCCGTCATTTGGGTATCAGAGTGCTCTTTCTTACAAACAAATCAAAATATGTCAGTCTCTGCTTATGTTTCAGTGACACTCCATGGCCCTCAGGCTGAAGTCTAAACTCTTCTACCTGGCTTTCAGGGCCCATCTTGATATGGCCTCTCCCTGCCCATCATTATCTCTTCAAGCACCTATATTTCAACATCAAATACTCTCTGGTCCTTGAGCATACTACTTTTCCTCCTCCATGCCTTTGCTTGGGCTTATGCTCTATTCTGTGAAACCCCTCATTCTTCAAGGACTAGGTCAAATGCCATCTTCTCCTTCTCTTCCTAAAGCAGCGAGTCATTCTCTTACATGTCTCCATACCCCTTTATTCTAGCATTCAATGTATTGTGTTACAATGTATTTATTTACCTTTCTGTCTCCCCCACTGTTCTATGGGTTCTTTGAGGGTAGAGACCCTTTCTAGTTTGTTGTGTACTTTTCTCCACCTACGACTCCATGGCAGATTTGGTGTGTGCGTGGAGACAATGAGCAAAATCTCAGTAGGGTGCCTTTTCCTCAGTACACTACCCATCCCTCTCATTTTGGCACCAATGTGGTTTCACACTCTCCATTTTCTCTAAAATTTAAGCTCCTGGAGGGTAGGGGCTATGAGGGATGGATAGCTCTTCCCTTGGTTCAAACTGTCTGATATTTTTATGGTATGTATAACATATTTTTTCATATTGTTGGAATAGTAGATAATGGTTATGACCACAGGCTTTTAACCACTGAGAGAAGTGCTTCTGAATCCTTTCCATTTACCAACACTATGACCTTGGGTATGTCACTAAATGTTTCTGGATCTTAGCTTCCTCATTTGTAGAGTGGATAGAATGGCACTTAGCTTATAGGATTGTTTTTAATCCTAAATATTATACAAAAAGTGCCCAATACAGTGTTTAGCACATGTTAAGCATACAATAAATGGTAGCTACCATTATTACTTTAACTGTAGAATCGCAATTCCTGAGGGCATTCCCCTTGGGATACCTAAGGGGTGAGCCAGAGAAGAAGCTTGGGGCATTGGGCAGGGCTGGTAAACCTGAACTGGGAAGGGCACTATCGTTAATTGGACTCAAGGCCTGCTAGTCATTTCTTCTTCGAAGATGAGCCCAAAGCTGGAGACAGCCCTCTGACAGGAACAGGAACTTAGTGGGGAGCTCGAAAGGGAGGTCACTAAAAGATACGATGAAAGTAGGCCACATGCTCTGGCCCAGATGTGATGAGGGAGCAGAGGATAAAGAAGTGAAGCTTCAGAAACAGGAAGGAAGCTAGAGATCTAAGTCTAGGAGAGGATAGCTTTCTAGGCCCTAAGCCAGAGAGACCCTCAGAGGAGTAACCACCAGCAGAGGACATGACCTTTAGCTGAAAGACGGCAAATCAGGAAAGGCAGTTGGTGCTCTAGGCATCCCCCCCGCCCCCCAGCCGATGCATCTGTAGAACTTTGGGTTTTGTTTTCCTTTAAGGTCCTACCAAATGTTCTTTCATCCAGGTTAAGTGATTCACAAAGTCTATGTACTCTCTGTGGCTGGGTCCTGGTTCAGTGGGTGGAGGTGGGGCAGCAAAGGAGGCAGGAGGCATTTATTAGAGAAATAAAGGGCATGGGTGCCAGGGCTGTTTTACTCTTTCAAGGACTGTGTGCCCTGTGTCTTATTCCTACAGTATATCTAATACAGGGCTTGGCACATGGAAAGCATCATGAAAGTACTTACTGAATCATATACACATTTAACTGCCACATCCTACACTAGCCAAGGGGTCCTTCCTGGCCTGGGGATGTACTATCTGGGGCGTCTCCTCCACCTCCTGGCTCTTACTTGGTCAGCAATGACTGTCTGGTGCTGGTACATTCCAGGGTTGAGCTGCCAACGACAGAACTGGCCTCTCCAGCCACGGGTGATAGTACCTCCCCCAATGCCACCCAAGGGACAACCTAGAGAGAGAACCAGAATGGTTAGTGAGGCGATCAGAAGAAGAAAATGAGCCTATTTCTTACTTTCTGGACTATAAGGATGGGTTCCTCTAAAAACCTAAGTGATAGGGCAGTGCAACTTGCATAAGCTGGAAGCCTCTTCCCTAACTCTGTGGCAGACCTGGAGGGTGGCCCCTCTCTGAGCGGGGCAGAGCTGGGTGAGGCTCACCATAGATCTGTCTCAAGGGCACAGAATTGAGCATGTCAATGAAAGGTGTCTTCTTCTCCACTCGGGTCTTCTGGTACCACCACTGAAAGTACCTGAGGAGCAAGAGGCAGTGTGAGGGTTAGGAGGTAGGTGGCTGGTGCTTCATGGGCTGCAGTCACCTGCCTCTCTCTGGACACCCAGCTGTTACCTCCCACTAAATGGCCTGAAGACCCATCACCTCCTCTTCCAAACCTCTCCTCCTATTGACTTCTCTACAATTCAGTGTCGCTTCATCTTTCCTGTTATCCTAGCTCACAGTGGGACTATCATTGTTTTTCCTCTCTTCTCTCCCCAGAACAATTTTTCAATTCTTTCCTTACCTCTCTAACTTAGCTACCGCTGCTTTAGTTCAAACCTGAGGAGCTCCTGTCTGAGGAGCTGAAAGGGCCAGTTACGGTTTCCTGGCCTACACTACCACCCCTCAACAGGAATAGGCATAGAGCTTTCTTCTTTTTAAAATGTTTATTTTCTTCCCAAGCACAAAATGTGAAAATTTAGAGAATATACCAAGTGGAAGGGAGAAAATCTCACTCATAGATAACCACTGTTTACATTTTGGGGCATTTCCTCTGAATCTTTGTTTACTGCACCATTTAAACTGGAAGCTTTCTGATTTTGCCCTCTTATACCATCCTAGTAAAGCATTCTAAAAATCCCAGTATTTTTCTGGTCTTGTCACAGCTCTATTCAGAACCTTCTGGGGGTGTATCCAATAGACGAATGATTCAGTTTGGGATTCAAGGCTCTAACATCTGGCCCAGCCTACCCTTAATCTTATTTCCTAAAAATTCCCATGCAGGGAGGGTCCTCACTAAGCAACCCCTCCCCTGCCAGACCCTCTCCCACTTCCATTCTCCTCCGTACCCCAGGCATTTTATACCCATTGTTCAAGTATACTACTTCTAACCATGTAAAAGGGTAAGTAACTCCTCTGAGCCTCAGTTTCCTCATCTACAAAATGGATACCTCCGCTGTGGGGACCATGGTCTCGGGGAACATCTAGCTCAACTGGCATAACACAGTTTATAAAGACAAGGTTCTACATTCTACCTTGGTGAGTAGTGTCTGGGGTCTTAAAAGCTTGTGAGCGGCCATCTAAGATACTCCACTGGTCTCATCCCTTCGGGAC